AATATAGAAACTCTTTGGTCATTTTTGAGCGAGATGCTAACGGTCTAATCAGATCCTTTACGGAGTAAAGGACACATTTTCTTTTTTTACATTTAGCCTAAATTTTTCTGACCCCAAACTTTTAAATTGTAAATAAAAAAAGTCTGAATTCATATTTTGAATGCACATTTGACTGCTTCAAATAAATCCACAAGGATCAACGAAGTCTGCAGAACGTACAATAGAAACCAGTTGGGGATTTCCAGCAAAATGTGCTCATAAAGTGGTACTGTAAAGCATTTTTTAAAATTTATAAAAATGACTGTAGTGTAAATGACAGTTTTCACGCTTACTAATCTCTCCTGAATCGTCTGGCGATCCTGGTCGACTTGACGTGACAGTAGTTGTAGTTTGCTTCCAATAACATGGAGTTTTTCCCTAGCTTCAGCACTGTCCTCCCCACCAGCCTCAGGAAGCAGCTCGGAGACGATCGCCTGCAGGGAGCTCACTTGCTTCTGCCTGCCCTGCAGCTCCTCTGCCAGATTCTGCCAACAGGAGGTGCAAAACATAAGCTCATTAGACAAATAACAAGACAAACTAGAGGAGTTCTCCATGCCTGAACAGTCTTGGAGTATCGTACAATAGAACGTACAATAGAAACCAGTTGGGGATTTCCAGCAAAATGTGCTCATAAAGTGGTACTGTAAAGCATTTTTTTAAATTTATAAAAATGACTGTAGTGTAAATGACAGTTTTCACGCTTACTAATCTCTCCTGAATCGTCTGGCGATCCTGGTCGACTTGACGTGACAGTAGTTGTAGTTTGCTTCCAATAACATGGAGTTTTTCCCTAGCTTCAGCACTGTCCTCCCCACCAGCCTCAGGAAGCAGCTCGGAGACGATCGCCTGCAGGGAGCTCACTTGCTTCTGCCTGCCCTGCAGCTCCTCTGCCAGATTCTGCCAACAGGAGGTGCAAAACATAAGCTCATTAGACAAATAACAAGACAAACTAGAGGAGTTCTCCATGCCTGAACAGTCTTGGAGAAGCTGATGTTGTTCTGGTTTGGGTTTCACACCTTCAGCGTGTTCTTGTGTTCCTGAAGCATGGAGGGCTGCACAGAAGGGTCGTTCAGGTTCACTGTGTAGCGTCTGCTCTCTGCATGGGCCAGCCATAGCAGTTGAGAGTGGACCATCTCGTGGAACTCCTACAGGAGGGCAGATGTTCAGTAGTGAGAGATGAAGTTTCACGTGGCATCAATCCCAATAGCTTCAATCTTTCCATTAAGGTTTTGTATAAATGTTTGACAGATATCTCACCTGACAGCGTCCTAAGGTGGTGCGCAGACTGTCCTCCCATCCCTCTAGTCCCGCACAAGCCTCTGTCCAGCGGCGATTCATGCTGCGCAGACCCTCCTGAAGCTCAGGTGCTCCTCCTGTAGCCCCCTGCTGCAGCTCTCGCCCACCCAGGTTCAGAGACAGCATCATGGTCTTATAGCAAGCAAATGTCTTCTGCATTTCCTGTGTAATGTGGAACAAAGTATGAAAACATTTCTTTCCCTTTCTAGTGTCTCTTTATAAAAAATCTAAAAGATTAGATGCATTCTAGAACTATAACTGATGCTTACTTTAAGTTGTTTGACCCTCTCTTCTAAGATCTCGACACTGACGGATGTCTCAGGCTTCTGCAGTCTGTCCAGCTCAGGGGTGACATGATCCAGCCAGGAAGAGATGTCATGCAGGTCAGAGGTCAGCTGCTGGGGGTCTCTGGTGCTGCACTGCTCTTTACTCACTGCTTGAGCCTGCAGCAGCTCCCAGCGCTCAATCACTCCTGCGGAGAACAAAGGACAAGTTCATAAAGTGAAAAAAATAAATTCTACATGCAATATTTTCAGCATCCTTCCATTTTTATCCTGTCTATCCACCAATCCAGTCCTTCATTCATCTAACCAAATCTACTAATTTTCGAACTATGTATCCATCCGTCCATCTACCTATTCATCCATTCCTCCATTTGTCTATCCAACTATCTATCATCAATGCATTCATAAATGTATTTGTCCACCTATCCACTCATCCATCTACGCAACTATCTTTCCACCTATCGACTGAACTGCCCTTCCATTTAACAATCTATCCAGCAATCTATCCTTCCATTTAGCCACCTATCCATCCATCCACCCAACTATCAATCCATCCATCAATCCTTTCATTTGTCTAAACTCTTATCTGCTCATCTCATCTATTTACCTATCATTCCATATGCTTATCCACTGATTCAACCATTCACCCTTGTCTATAGATCTATCTGCCCACCATTCCTCTATTTGTCTATGCAAACCTCTACCCATATCCATCCATCCATTTGTTTTTCCACATTTTAATCCATCCATCCATCTCTTCATGCCTACCCACCCATTTAATTTTCAATCCTCATATTCATCCATCCATTTATCCACCAATCCTTCCATTCCTTTAAGTCTATTCAACTATCTATCAATTACTCCATCAGTTTATCCACCCATCTAACCACCTATTACATCTAACTATTTATCCATCCATCAGTTTATCCATCAATCCACTGATTCATCATTCCATCTATCCAACCAACCCTCCGTATCTATACATCATATGACCATCCTTCTGTTTATCCACCAATCCATTCATCCGTCTACCAACTATCCATCCATCCATCCATCCATCAGGTGGCATGAAAATGTAATTATGTGCTATTATTGATAGATAAATAAATAGCCTTATGCTTTTAGACTCGTCTAAATAAATTGACAAATAGTCCCTTGCACATGTGATCTGTGTCAGTGCATGCACTATTTGTGAAGACTTTTTTTTTTTACGTGAACCACTCGGGATGAGTACCAGACAGACGTCCTCATGCTCCTCTGTGTTGGACAAAGTGTCAGTACCTGACTGTTTGTCTGCAGTGTTGAGGGCAGTGAGGCCTTGTTCCTCCTGCTGTTCCTCATCATCCAGGATCATAGAAACCTTCTTCACACTCTTAATGCTGCCGCTGCACTCAGACATCAGCTGGACCTGTACATTGCAAAGACACATCATACACGCACCATTACAGTTACTTTTAATACAGGAACTACACATGCACTGAATAAGACAACATGCAAATTTGGTGTTTATGTAAGAGCTGGATTAAGAAGGAAGGGGTATATACTCACGTAGTCTTGTTTAAAAGGAGTGCAGCTGTGTGTAGGTGAGGAGGAGTTCAGCTGGAAGGATTTCCCTTCAGGTGTATTTTGAAAGTGCCAATTCTGTCCTGTGAGTGTGTGAGAGTGGGAGAGAGAGATTTAACTCAGTGCTCAAAACAGGCTACTTTATTTGGGCTGTGATGACAGAAATGGATACAAGAAGTGGAATTATTTAGTTGCATGGATCATGAAGAATCAAATTTTTCTTGATCTTTTGAAGTAATAGAGATTTATGTACTATGAAAAACATATACAGTGGGTATAGAAAAGAAACACCCCCTTTAAAATAATCACATTTTGTTGCTTTGCAGCCTGAA